AGATATACTATATAATGAACTGATACATATACATACATATATATAGTTAATTATATATATATGGCAGAACTCAGTGAATGCTGTGCAAACACTAAGCAGCTCTGAACTACACACTACACACACATACACACTTAAAGGCATACAAGCAAACAAGATATATATACTCAGGCCACAATCCATCAAAATTAAAGGCGAATCGTTGGTTGAAGTTAGCTTAATTACCGGTAATTACAATTTATAATTACTAAAGTAAATATTTAAATATTTAATTCGAACTAATTGCTTTCAAAATTTGTGCTTACCAATAACATAAATATTTGTTCTGGCACTCAGATGATAATAAAAAACATAATTATAATTGAACCTATAAAAACTTAACTTCATGAAATTGTTTTAATTATTTTCCCCAATTAACCTAGTAATTACTCTGGTAATTAGAGCTCTGTTTATGACAAAAACGGCTTCAAAATCAAAAACAAACCAAAAAAAAAACAAAAAACAAAAATGAAATTACATTCACAGCTCTTCAACAAAGATCAAGCAAATCAGTTCCATGGAAGAACTCGCAGAACTGCATAAATGAAAGACAATAAGATTTTTATTTACGAGTATGAGTATATGCTTTATTAATAAACAACCAAAAACTGAAGATTGTTAAAGCAAGTTGCATAATTAAAGCATAACTTAAATACAATTTTAAGATGTCAGCAAACGATACCATTTAATAAATAAATGTTTAGACGCACTGAAAGGCAAAGAGAAAAATTTATAAATAGAAACTTTGGTTTACTAAATCAATTAAATTTATTAGCAATGAGATTACAAAATATATTAACTGAAAAACTAAATACAAAACTAAGTATATACGCATAAATAAATATATTTTCAAAATTTTATAATGAACCAAAAAAATAAAACAAAATGGCAAATTGTAAACAAATTTAATGAAAATGTTTTTTAAATTCATACGCAAGCAAAACAAACAACAAATTCGCACAGCAAATCACTTCCAAAAAAAAATAAATAAATCAATAAAATAAAACAAAACAAAAATCTAATATAAAAAAAAAAATTTAAAAGATTAAATTTAAAGAGTATACAAAATTAATTAATTTTATAGGCACAGGAAAAAAAATTGGCGCAATTAAGAAAAAACGAAAAGAAAACTAAAAAAATAAACCGAATTTGTAAAGCAAAAAAGAAGTGGATAAACGCGTTTAACTGCTGAATTGCACAACACTGCTAGAGAAAGAACAGTGTTGCACAACATTCAGCTTACGGCACGTAGTAATAATACTAATTTAAAGGAAATACAAAAACCCTTTGAAGCTTAGCAAAAAATTGAAAGAAAACGAAAATAGCTTTGAATGAAGCAATTTTGAGCAATCAAACAACTTAGTAAAGTCGGTATATAGTTATAAAGAAATTCAAAACAAAAAATTAAAAATTGAAAGTTTTAAATACTAAACAAAAGTCTATATGGAACGTATGGTATATATATGTATATATATATATACAGCGACAAACACCAAAATTCACACTGAATAAACGTTATATTTATTAATTAAATATGTAACTAAATAAACAAATAAATGTAATATCAAAAATAAAAAGAATTAAATGGGAAAAAGAAGACAAACGAAATCAACTGCTGCTTTTCTATATAT